ACTCCACACAGAAAGGCGTCAGGCTGGTTTAACCCAAGGACCTTCTTACTGCAAGGGAACAGTGCTACTGTGCTATTCTTACATTGTTGTTTATCTCACTTATTCTCTTCAGATTTTGGAATCTTCTTACACAGTTTAAATCATTATTGTTATGCATATAGAAAACTCTAAGAGCAATCAGATAAAAGCAAACTAGCCAATGCTGCTTTGGATAATCTTTGGAAGCCAAAATACAGAGGTACTGAAAAGTTTTGCTATTTTTAATGACTAATAACTGTATAGTTTTTTTCTCCTTATCTATCTTTGTCCTTACTGTACAGTGTTATATTATTATTTTTTGTGTTTTATTTATTTTTTTTACCTTTGTGTGTATCTACATTCTGCCATTTGCATTTCACCATGAATACAGATCAAATAAAAAAGGTTTATTTAAATTCTTACTTCTTTTCTGTTTGATCATCACTCGAAGGTTAGACTCAATAGGTATTTTTAATCCGACAAACAGGCAACATCAAAAGACAAATTCCAACTAACTGAATATAACTTTAATGATTTATTACCTAGTAAACAGGTAAAAAGCCCAAATCTTTTTTTTATTAAAGTTATGCAAATCTTAAAAAATATCATCTCTAAAGGTTTTTACAGCTAATTTGTTAAATCTATCAATATACTTACGCAGTTATCCTCAGAGCCAGAGGCGATGAACCGGCCGCAGGGTGAGATGGCACAGGAGCATGGATGACAGCGATTTACATGGTTCTCATAGCGCCGCACACACCTGAGGTAATGATGTTCAATTTAATACATAGCTTAAATAAAAGCAAAAGTGAACCAGTGTCTAAATAATTAACATATGTTGATCTAGTCATTGGGTGACCTGGCGTAGCCACAACAACCTGGAGCTCAATGCTCTGAAAACAGTCAAGATCGTGGACTTTAGAATAAGCACAACCCCATCCTTAACCATTGTTCTGTGTGGCTGTCCAGGTACCACCATGGACACCTTTTGCTTCCTGCTAACCATCATTACCTGTTACCGTCATAACTCATTACCACAAGCTGGAGCTGAACATCACCTCCCTCACCAAGAAGGCACAACACTAAATGTACTTCTTATGACAGCTGAAGAATTTCAGCCTTCCAAAGACAATGACATTGCACTTCTACTCCCCCATCCTTCGGTTCATCCTGTGGTGAGACTGGCTGCAGATCGTCTGTCTCTTCAGGAGATGTACGCTTCCAGATCACAGAGGGGAACAGGAACAAACTTTTTCAAACCCTCCCCTCTGGCTGGAGAATGTGATCCATTAGGACCAGCACATCTCACCACATCTGGTGCTAGCCTCATAATAGCAAGGCCTGGGTCCACCACAGACACACGTTTCCTACTAGTATATAAAAAAAAAGAGGCAAAACAACACAAAAACTCCATCCCCATTAAATGTATACCATTTAACCTAATCGAATACTGTTTTTTTTTTTTTTTATTGCTTTATTCCAATTGCAATTTTGTGTGATGTTGTATATTTATTTACCGGTCAACTTGTCTATGTGTAACACCTGATTGCACAAAACAAATTCCCTTTACATATAGAATATTACTTTGTCATGAGCATTTTCTGATTTGCATTCTATATATGCTCATATTTTGGCACATTTGGTAGTTTTGCCTTGCTGTAAGATCCTGGGCTGAAATCATGGAATGCAGCCTTTTTTTTCCATGAAGCTTGCATGTTTTCCACTCCGCAATGGAGGTTCCCTCCATATACACTGTCTTATCCCCCAAAGTCCAAAAGCATAACTGGTTAAATGTTATTTCTAAATCGTCCACATGTATAAGTGCATGTGCATATTGTCTGCTCTGTGTGTATTTAGGTTTCACTGTGATAGACTGGCCGCCTATCTAGGGTGTACTCGCTTTTTGCACAATGAACACTAGAGATAGGTACCAGCTCCTCTGCAACCCTGTAAAGATAAGCAGGTATAGTACAGAAAATGGATGGATGTCTGACAAACCCATTCAGGTTAAAAAGGGAGGATTTATATGTTTTCTCACACATCCTCTTTAAAAAGATCATATTAACATTTAACATAAAGAAATTTCTTATCTCTGTGCAAAGACTGCTGACATAGGAAAACAGTTTTCACTAACTTAATCTAAAAACCAGGGACAATATATATAGTGGAGCACAAAAGATGAACAGAACTCAGCAACTTCACATTCTGCAGACATCTTAAGTTACTGAACACAAAGAGTTTAGCATGACTCAGGTCTAAATGGAGGAAACATGGAGAAGTCCAACTATGAATGGTACCTTGTGGAACTTGTGGACTTTTTAATTTGGTCTGCAGCAGCATGTAATGCCTTTACAATACCATAATACCATCAACAGCTGGTGAACCTGGGAATCCTATAAAGGATGGCATGCAGGTCTTTAAAGGCATTTTGTGAAGTCATGGTTTTGACATTTATATGTTTGTGTCATTAAGCTGGACTAAGAGTGGGTCATTTTCACCGATGGCCATTAAGAAATCTGATACATGCAGTAGCAGCCAGACATGGATATAGACTTTTGGTGAGATAAACACTTGGGCTTAGTTAGAATATTGATTCAGTAGTTATTTTCCTATTTATAATGAGAACCTTACTTTATTCAATAGTATGTTTTCCTACTTAGAAGACCATTTTAATGTAAGCATTTAGTTTGTTCCTGTGTAAGTCCTTACATCTTATGATAAAAAGTAATTCATTTGCTGAGAGGTGTTGCTTTACATTATTTATATCCCTATTTTTAGTATTAATATTGGGAAAGTGGGTATAAATTTCAAAGTTTAGAACGGCAGATTGTTTTTTTTTTGTTATTTTTTATATTTTAAGCAACAACTTGACATGTGGGAATTATAAACTGTACACCCGCCTCCATGTGGTCAAATTATTATTAGTTGTGATAATCAAAAAAGTAGCTTTCTATCAGTTTGAGAGGTCAGCATATGAAACTCGGTATATTATATAATGATCATAATTTTGGCCTGCAGTAAGATGCTTAACAACACGGCTGTCAAAACTAGGGAGTTTACTTATACAGGAGGTGCAAATTTTTATCAGACAGTAGATTTTTACACAAGGAATTTGATACGAAATCAGCCTAAGACATGAAAGAATGCAAAACTTATTAATGTCTTCTATTAGGCCAAAAAGAACATTGAAAGATCCAAAAAGGTCTAAAAAAATGATCTGTCTAACAAGGACAGCTGTAAATCACAGCCAGAGAACTTTGGAAATTAAACACTTTCCAGTTTAAGCATCAAGTTAATAATATTTGTGTAAGAAAAACGATTATGCAATTTCAATGTGTCATTTTTATACTTAGGAACAGCAAATTGGAAAAAAAAAAAAACACCAACAAACGTCTTGACTGAACATATAAGCAACACATTTAACAAAGGTTTGACAGCTCTTCTAAATAGCCCCATCAGCTTTGTTTAAAATTTCATGGAAAGATTTATGCTTCTAGATGCTGCAGTCCAACTAATTTAATGTTTTAGACAGGGTTTCTTTCTTGAAAAGCTTGAAGCAACAACAGGCCTAAACATAAGAAACTGTAAAAGGTTTTGGTTCATTTTGCTTTTCATAAAGAGTTTTTTTGTTTGGATATCATATCGATACAAACCTCATTGTACGGAGGTCCCACATCTTCACACCATCTGTAATTGCACTGGTGAGGAATACGTTGTATGACTCTGGAGCCTGTGAGGTGAATGTGGACCCCTTTAAAATAAATAAGAATAAATGAATAAAAAACAGATGCTTCAATAAATTACCTTTTAAAAAAGAAAGAAACGTTGAAACTCACATTAAATAGTATAAAAGTGAAAGACACCCAAAATAAATTCAAAAACTTGTTTTAAAATAATAACTTCATTGATTAAAGGTATAGATGACGTTTATTTCCGGGTGGATCATCGAAATAAGTGGCCCTCCTAAATGTCAGTTACTCTGGTGATATGTTTACGTAAGGCCGTCAAACGTGCTCGTCCTGTTAGCTATTTTTTTGTGCGCATGCACACTTTCAGGCATATATTTGTGGTGAGCAACAGTTTCAGACAGTGATTGAAGCTCACCTTTCTCATTGTGATTCTTTGATGATGGCTGAAAGCCATAAGAGAAAAAGTGTCTACGAAGTGTATAAGAAGAAAATAAAGACCTCAGAAGATTCAGCTAAATCCCAGAATGCTTTAATTATGGTCCTAATTAATTTTTTTTGGAAGGTAAAAATTTTCAAGGTTCCAACACTTAAAGAAAGTCATCCAGGTCCTGAAGGAGGAAAACATACCCAGACCATGACACTACCTCTACCATATTTGATCATTTGTGTATGGTCTCTTTACTGAAATGCATTAATAGTTTTATCTCAGATATAACAGGATAGAAAGCTTCCCAGAAAGTTTCACTTTTGACATCTTTGTCCACAGAATATTTTCTCACAAATTTTTACCCTGCCTCTTAACTGTTTACTCAAGAACCTTGAAGTTAACTGAAACGAGTCAGAACTTAACTGCATTAGATGTTTTTTTTGGTCTGGGTTCCTTTGTAATCTCTCATGAGTTGGTGATTTGTTTTTGGAAAACCAGACACTCCTTGGAAGGTTCATCCTGCACCCTTTCTTCTCCCTTTATGGATATTAGCTCTCCCTGTGGTTTCCTGGAGTCTCGAAGCTTCACAATGTTAAATGTCAGTACATTTGTTTGTACAATGCTTTTGTGATTTAATTAGCTTTGGTTTAATAACAGTGTTTTGTATTTATTCAGGTTATCTTTGTTGGATATAAAGATCTATTTACTTATGTAAAACATTTGAAGGTGACAAATAATTTACAAAAAAATAAAAGCTGAAGAGATCTGTAAGAGAGAAAATACTTTTCTTTACAGCCCTGTGACAATCTTTGTATTACTTCTTTAAAAAAATTTGAAAACCCTCAATTATTTTCCTTCAATTTTACTATTATGAAATACTATTAGTAGTTGTGTTGGTCTAATATCATATGTTAAAGTGGAAAAATATACATCTTAGTTCATGGTTGTGACATAAAATGTCAAAAGGTTCATGGGGTACAGGTATTTTTTCATGCTATATGTTCCATATAAAAAAAAGAAAAAAAAAAAAAGAAAAGGGAAACTTAATATTTAAGCCAAAAAAGTTTTCCTACCTTTGCCAGATTCAGGTTTACAGCAATATTTTTACTTTACAACCATTTTTTGTCTAGCTGGAAGCATCATAAACATTTTGGAACAGTTAATCTAGATTAATGCCATTGGAAAAAAAATTACTATTTATCATTTAGAATGGGAACATTTTTTTTTTAAAGTAAAATATTTATTTGTACATTAACATTAAACCTACATAACATTAAACAATCGCCAAAATAACTGCTTGTGAAGCACGACTGTTTAAATCCGGTCAAATTAAAAACAGGATGGGAGAATGATTTCAAAGTATAGGACCTTTGTAAAGTGAGGTTCATGTGAATGATATTGAATAATGAGCTATTTTATGTTAGATGGAGCCGGGTAACATTTGCAAGTAATGAGTAGGATTTGAAACTCTATTCTGAGATTAACCGGCAGGCAGTGAAGAAAAGCCAGCAAAGGGAAAATGTAATTTCTCATGGTTATCTTTTGAGATCACCTCTCTTATTTCATAAAAAAAAAAAAAAATCCTGTGTGAATGTAAATAATTGTAGTTTTAAAACTAAGAGGGGTTTTGAGTTTCTGTGCCTAGAATAAAACTAATTTTCAGCTTAATTTCCCATACTCAAGGGATCCCAAAAAATGCAGTTTCCACCTCAAGTCTAAACATAAAATTCAATTTATGACTTCCAAACCAAGTTATCAGATGATATAGTTTTAGTAAGAGAGAGAGAGAATGCAGCTGTGAGGGTGTTCTTTGTTTAGATTTCCATTAAGAGTGTGAGAACAGGAGTTTGAGACAGCATTTCCAGTTCTAATTTCCAAGAAGTCCTCAGTTCTGATGAGTTCCAGGTGAATTTTACAGGAGGAGGCAATGGAAAATTCAGGAGGAAAGCGTCCTGTTCCTCAAGCGTCAGTTTTTGAACGTCTGGACTGCCCTGGGATGACAAGGCAAGAGGGGAGGGACATCTGATGTTAGTGTGTGTGCAGTGTCCAGGCAGGGGCAATCCCTCTGCTCCACAACTACTAACCCCAAACCATCCAAAGGCCCTCAGGCACTTAGGAAGAGAAGTCCTCGATGCAATAGCCAAGCTGAAAAAACACGCCGCAGGCTTTCTATAGTGTTGCACACAAAAGATGTGATGACAAAGAACGTGCACATCTGGGCAAGAGGAATATAGTCATCTGTACAAGAGTCAATAGCAGCTGAATGAGTTAATTCATGCCAATAACAGGAGCATATGCAGCTAAACCAGGCTGGGCTGAATGTCAAGCGTGCAGAGGAAAACACACAGAAGTAACATCAATCAAGGTTCACTGAATACATGCAGGCATCTGTCACATACAAGTTATATAACAACTTTGAATGGATCATTATTTCAATACTTTCATGAAGGAAATTGTTAGAATACTACTGTCAATATACGTTACTATAAATAACATCCTGAGCTTGAAAGAGGTAAAAGTACCACTTTGGGCTTTACATATCTCATTGTGTTGCAACAAGAAATAGGGTGACCAGATGTCCAATATTGTGCAGGACAGACCACATTTTTCACTTTTGTCTCCCTGTCCCACAAATCTAAGCAATGCCCTGCTAAGGGAAAAAGTAAAAAAAATATATATATTCACAGATGCTTATCCTTAATATGAAGAAAGCAGAGCTGCAGTTTTTGTCACAAAGCTACGCCAGCACTCCGCATCATGACCAACCTGCACACCAGACAGTACCAGATCGAACATATTTATCAATAAAAAATTAAACAGCGTGTCCCATATATGATGTTTAAGCTGAATAAAATGGAGAACAAAAAGAGCTCCATTTTATAAAGCAGAGTAAGTAGGAATCCAGAGTAAGTTCTGGGACAAGTTCCTGCGTACCCTGGTTTTACCATTTTAAAAAGCTAGAAAGCCATTTGCCTGAGTAAAATTATGAAAGCAAAGTCCTCTGTGAAACAATCCTGTTCAGGAGTAGCAAGTAGTCCCCACTGTTATGCTGAGATTTGTACAAGTAGGTGTTGGAAGAACCTTAGCAGAATCACATTGGATAAACAGACACCTATTCCAGCCGGGTATGGAGCGATTGAACCCGACCCTGTGAAGGTAGTTTTGCCCTGACTGCCACAGGGCCGCGGCTACCCGGTCACTGGGTCGGGTTCGGTCGCTCCGTCCCCCGCTGGCTCCCTCCCCCAGTCCGCCGGCCCTGCTGCTGCACTGTAGTTGACCAAATCCCAGACGATTTTGAAATTCCCCCCGGACATTTTTTTAGGTATGAAAAGTAGGACATGTCCAGGAAAAGGAGGATGTCTGGTCACCCTACACTGTACAATAAACTACAAAGTATGAATTTGCAAAAAACAAACAGTGAAAGCCCAAATTCAATTTACATATAAACTGTCACACTATGAAATAGAAGTTTGAAATTAGTTTCCTGTTCCTAATTTTAAGTTCCAAGTACCAAAGGGCATTTAAAACTAAATGAACTAAACTGTTGGTGCCAGAACTGATGGACCCATCACTCTTCTTAAGGAGCATCAGTAGAGAAAGCTTTGGCACATACACATAGAGATACAATGTAATTTAGATAAAGACTTTTCAGATGTTAGAAAAGCCCAGTCAAAGTCCAACTACAAATCTGCAGCAAGACTGACTGAGCTTGTGCTACCTTGAAAAGAAGAATGGACACCACTGTCACACTGGAAAAACAATCTAGAAATAAGTAAAAATGTCTTAAATTAAGCGTATTTACCCTTAATTTGAGTTGGTAAATAAGATGATCCGCCAATGGAATGAGTATTTTTACTCTTAAAATAAGGTATTTAGATAAAATGCACTTTAAATAAGACAATGCAATTGTGTTTTCTTATTTTAAATGCAAATTGTCTTGTTCCATTGGCAAAATGTCTCTTTTGCTTCCTTAATCCGAGAACAAATGCACTTATTTAGAGAAAAAATGACTTATCTAGATTGTTTTTTTCCAGTGCAGCCTTAGATGTGTAAAGCTGGCAGAGATATCCTGAAATACGGATTCAAGCAAAAGATGGATCAATTAAAAATTGACTCACAGAGGCTGCATGAAAAAGAATGGCCGTCTGTCCGGATTTTTATTTGTTAACATTATAACTGTATTTATGAGGCTCTGCCCCCTCCCTCCTCTGAAGAGATCTGTGAAGTTGCATTGTTTGTACTGTAGGCTGACGAACTGTTACATCTGTCAAGGACATTGACCCTGGGAACAGTGCTTCATGGACTTACTTTGCACGTACACTGATGCTCAGATGATACATGCACCTCTCATCCTTCGACCATTCATCCCTCCTCTGACCTATTGTAATCCCTTTCTTTGGTTTTTCTTACTATAAGGGCAGCAACTCTTATGGCAGCAAGGCCTTGGACACCACGTCCCCCCATGTCTGTATATTGTCTGTGTGTTTTGTCTTTTCTTGGATGGGCTGTACCGAAACTGCAATTTCGCCCTACTGGAGTGCCACTCTAGGCTCGGTGACAAATAAAGAAATCTTGAAAAATGAATGCAGATACAGCAAAAAGCTAATGGATTTGCACAAAGTGTGCTTGTCAAATGCCAGCAAACTTTGTCCACATTAGTCTAAGGCAGTCATGTATGAATAAGCCCACATCATGGAACAGCCTCATGGAAAAGTGTTTCTCCAAGGCCATCAACCCCAGCTGGACTCTCCTCCTGCCATCACAGATGACAGTTTTAATCCTGATACAGCTGTAACTTACATTCAAGATGAATTCGACTAATGATTTTGCATCCTGTCTGGCTGTCATTAAAACCACAAAAATGTGTGATGATGACCTTTCACAGTCATACCGCAAACTGACACTTTTATTTCCTTAAAGACGATCTGTACCTTACGTAACTCGCATGTAAAAAAAGGAGCTGTTGATGACTTATGTAATTCTGTGACATATGCCAAATAACAGACCCTTCAAGAGTAAGATGGAAGATAGGGCTCACAGTGCTTATAGATGCCAAATCAAGCAAATTCCGTGCTCTGTGGGTTTGGTCCCCAAGTAATTTGGTCTGCGGATGAAGTGATGAAATGTCTCTGCCTCTATCCGCTTAAAAGGATTTAAGTTTTCTATGAGATTTAATGATACTGCAAATTAGAAAACCTCTCTTAAATACCCTGTAAAAACTTAGTGAAAAAACAAGTAGCATAGATGCGGTTCTTTATATGCATGTTAACACAAATTTCATTAAAGCTGAAGATACATTTTTTTTTCCTGATGGTTTTACAGACAGGCCTCTAAGAAGTTTATAGTTAAACTGTGATGAGTAATGTCAAAACTTATTCCACATTCAATGTGGTGTTTATCCAGTAGCATTCAACTGAAAAATGAATAAATCTGTTAGAAGGAAAGAAAAATGTAGAACTGGGACACAAACCCAGGAGCATAAGTGTGCACACCCTTATACATAAACCAAGCTGTTTAATTCAAGACAAAAATTATTTTTTTTTTTAATAGCACAATTCATAGACAAGATGGTTCAAAGCGATCTTATTTAGTTTCTGCATTCAGTCATCTTCAGTAGGGATCTAGCAGCTACTATCTGCATCAAAATGTGGGGATGCTTCTTTTCCCAAAAACTTGTTCAAACCGTTCTACAAATTTAGAATCAAATTTAGTTCTCGAGTTTGATACAGTTGTTCAAAAACTTAAAAAATACCTTTCTTTAGCTGATTTAGACATATGCTGTTACCTATTTAGATCCCAAAAGACAATTTACATCATGATGTTCAGATTTTTAGCTGGGGAGTATATAAAAAATATTTATCATTTCATCCACGTTGGCGACAATCTAAGTACAAGTTTAAAAAAAAGTAAGCCCAGGGCACGATTCTCTCACCATTCACTTTTACTACAGGTACAGTACTCTTTTGCTGATGTGCGGGACTATTTCTGAGCCAAACCTACTGGAACTGTGGCCAAAGTTTCAGTGATGGTTACATTAATCAAAAAGCAAAAGAAGTGAGCAAATATCTAAACTTTCCTATGACAGCAAAACTTTCATTTGAGGCTACAATATGTTATTCAGAAGAAGAGCTGAGACAAATGTTGTTTGCTGGACATGATATTTGTACAGTTATATTCTACCGAGGACATAATTTAGTGGTTACTTCGAATTGCGAAGTTATTCATCTAAGTTTAAAATGTCTCACCTTATTTTGTGTGATACTGTGGATAGCTCTGCTGTGGGAGTCAGGCAGCACAGAACCAACGGCACCTTTGTTCATGTCCAGAACTTGAATGGACCGATCTGAACAACACACTAAAACAATATCTGAAAAAAAAATGTTAAGAAAAGATATGCTCAAC